GTCTGTCTGTCTCTGTCTGTTGAAGATATCACTTTCTTCCTGAAAGCAAGTCGTAACGTGTTGGGGATTGACGTCAGTGACAGGACAGTTCTGTATGGTTTGCTGCGAACACAATGCTCGTGAGTGGTTGCCCTAGGTTAATTAACATAATCTCGCCAGAGTATGCTTCACACACCTGCTCCTCGTATATTTTGTCGAATGAGGATGAGCAAGCTTGAAAGTTGTATGCCAAACGATTAAAAGAACAGGTCCTTTTGTTGCGAAGACTCACAGCGCAGTCACAGCAACTATAGTTGCTTAAGCATGGATACGTGTGGGTGTGAACCCGCTCGAGCAGGGGTGAGGATTGCCCACATACCCATTGCATACACTAGTTTCAGCGGACGATTTCAGTGAAACATTTTACACAGACTTAAATTGCTCCTAACAGAAAAATTGCTATTTCATGCATAAAGCATAATACAAGGACATAGTAGTTGTTGCAAGAGCCTAATGAAAAAAAACAGGTACGACGGATTCTAGCTGAAGTCAGGTTAGGATAAAATGCTTTTACTGGAATAGGGACGAATGGGTGAAAAGTGTTTTTTAGTATTCATGGAAACAACCAGTGAAGCCACTATGGATAGTTTCATGCTCGCTGTTTGCACGAATTCATGATCGAGCTTTTAGACACTAATCGGGTTGGACCCACACGAGCACTGATAATGATGTCGAGCAAGGTGGAAACAGTTTTGCTATTCCCGGAACTAGTTTAAAACAAAGATTGACAATTGACAATAAACATCTGTCATTTTAGTATTTCTAATATTTCCAAGGGCTTGTCCTAAATGAATTCTGTGTTAAATAGGTATTGTAAAGAGAAGTTTACAAAACCATACGCTCTGCAATTAGAGTTAACAGTTCAGTTCAGTTCAGTTTGCACAACCAATAACCATGCACTTTCGTGCCCCGGTTTTGGTTGCCGTCTTTTGGCTGCCCATTTAGATGAACATAAGGAGGAAGACAGGAGGAGCAGAAGACAGGAAAGGTTGAAAGTAGGATCAAGGAGAAAATTTACGATTTCAGTCGTCTAATTGACAACATGCACGAACACCATTGTTTACGACACTCAGCTATATCACTCAGTCTCTCGAACCATCGGGTACGACCATCCCGAGGTCCCCAGCCAGAGAGCCTAACGGGACCTATGTGACCCAGTCCCTGGTCAGGATTTTCATACCCTCGTGTCAGGTCTTAGCTTGACCACCCTTGACTTTCTTCCACCCACTACCTGCCTCGGCGAACATCGTACTCCGTGGCAACCTATCTGGTGACAGGCGTAACACATGCCCCAAACAACTTAATCTATGGAGGTCGAACATTTACTCCAATGGATGACCGCATATACTCCCCCCCTCTCTCTCTCTCTCTATATATATATATATATATATGCTAATCGAACCTTCTGTATACGAGCAGACATTTCATCCGTGATGCGTCCACCGGGTGTTATGTTATTCGTATGTTACTTTGCCAGAAAGGTCTCGTAAAAGTTCATAAGCTTTTCTGATCTGAGCTAAGGCGAGTAGTGTTTTTGACAATGTTCGAACTCAACTTTAAATGGAAAAATTAGGATTCACACAGTATGCTTTCTTGGGCAACGCTTTCACCAGGAAGTGTCCACTCACAGTGACGAATGATAAGCAGTGTTTTATCATATCACTTTGAAGTTAGATATATACATATATGTAGGGTGATGTCCTGGAACTAATAATCAACAATATGATGATATTAACATAAAATACCCGGAGTCAATAAAACAATCTGAACGTTCCGATATAAATGGGGACTGGGGTACCTCAATAAAAGTACATCCGAAGATGTTTTCGTTTTTTATCCCATGCAAACTTGCACACGCACACAATGTCTGCGTGCTGATGCCTTCGGGCAGTTTCTATTCGCCAATCGCATCTCATCATTATCGTCACAACTTTTCGGCAGTGAAAACAAATGCTCGGTCATGTTGAATGAACAAGAATCGATTAGTGTGGAAAAACTTGGAATATATTTTCAGTAATCGATGAAATACTTGGAATGCATATAAGTCACGCATAGAGAGATTCTATTTTGTATGCAGTGCGAGAAATCTCAAATTTGAATGTTCTTCAAGGCATTCGTTGGTTGCAGAAAATTAACTCAATCTCATGCAAAGGCACTGTGGGACTATATCGATAAAAGCGAAATGTTTAAAAAAATATTCATCCGGACGGACAAGAACAATAGGTGCCGTTACCAGCCTTAACCTAATCAAACCAAACAAGTGAACTAGTTGGATAACTTGCAGAAAGTTAATTTCTATTCTATACTCAAGGAGATTCCTAAAGATATGTCACACGGTCGACAACGTGGCTGGCTATTAGCCAGTTGGATGAAAGCAGTATGGTGTACGATTCTACTTATGTTCACAAAAATATCGGTGGATTTGGGGGTAAAGAACAGACCAGGGATTAAATGCACAGATTTTGTTATCATTCCCACTAGATTATTGAGCAATAGAACCACAAGGTCCTGTTAGTTGTTCTGGAGATCTGGTGATATTATCAGCCCGAGTATTGTCAACCATGAAGACACTCGTAAAATATCCCAACAGAATAGCGGTGATATTTAGCCGACTGACAACTGCTGTGAATGGATGACATGGAATACAGCCGGCCTGTCTCCAAAATATTTGGAAAACCAATATCAAGTGGAATATAGATCTGGTTGCTTTCTGGGTTCAAATCATTTGGGACGATTGCTCACTTACTCCGATCCAATCGACTAATGTTTTCTTTCTTGCAGATGCTTCATCCAAAACCGACTGAAGGTCTTACCCGAACAAGACTTGCCACCAGCTGGGACCACCTCAATTCCGCTCGTCTGAATCTGTCGCTTGATCATCCAGTTCAAACATTCGCAGCCAGTGCTGACCCCTCGCCCAGACAACAACAATTTGTCACTCAGACCACAATGCAACTGACCAATTCTGTCCCAGTCAGTCGATTCTCCGGGGAAAATGGTAAATCACCATCGCGATTGGACACCCCTGCTCGGGCGCACCACTCGGACGAGGAGCCAAGTTGTGCAACTGTGGTGGATCGATCGGAGACAACAAAGACCAATGAGAACTTGGAGAACTGGCGTGTGACTACAGACAGTTCGGAAGAGGCGAACGAATCCAGTGGTTCACAGGATCCTATCTGTGTCTAGTACGGGAATGAAAATGATGCAGATGAACATTGTGAAGTTATTTGATCAGTCACCGCATTTGCATGCGGCGGATAAAACCGGTGGTTGAATTAACTAGCAAGAAAACTGACAGACGAGAATTTCAATGGTGACCAGATGCGTGTATGGATTTCCTTTTGTGCCAGAGTTAGTTTTGAAGATAACTCTTTTGACCGAATCACATAGCATTGGATAAAGAAAACTACTTGTCAACCGCGTTCTTTTAATGTACCTACATTGGGATTAGGTGACGGGGGTGAATATTCAGGCGGACTTATTTACAGTGGTTTTTTTTTTCTATGAACACATATTGCTACTTGTGTAAGTGATCTGGGAGATTTGATCTGTTCTGAAGGAAAGACCCGCAGCCTAGAATCAGTCGTAAAGCACCGATATCAGAGAGGCACTGTTTTGTCCATTGGCTACGGCGAGTCAATTATATTTAACCATTCAGGTCAATCAGGAGTTCCGGATCACAGCCTAGTCTGATTATGAAACGACCCACTTGTACCATCGCACACTACCAGTAGTTAAAAATACAGGAGGTCATCAGGGTAGATTACCACATTTCTTGAAAACTGTGTGACATACTGATCATCCAGACTTCGCTATGAGGCTTGAACAGTGCGTGTGCCTGAGGCCACTGATGTAGGGTCAACGGGCCAGGCTGAAATAATAAGGGAACAATTTCAACTGACACTCGGACAGCATCAAATAATGTGATAATTAGGAATAATACTCGGGCAAGTTGAATTGAAAGAGGTATAGGCAGTGCATAGTACACATGCGAGTGGACGTATCATGGGGTATTTATGTGCGTACGCGCGTATGCACCAAAGTTAGGATTAAGCTACTCAGAAATCTACTCCAATAATCCATAATTTTTAACTGCTGGTTATGTCTGCAATGGTGAAACTGAGAATTAGGCTATGATCGTTTCAGTAGCTAACTAGGCGGTGGGTCGGAACTCCACATATATATATATATAATGATTTGTACATGAATGAAAAACAGAACAAAATCGGATACGCACACCTGAAAAACGGCGAGGACCCCGAAACCCTAAAACGTTGAACAAAGGAAGGTACTTTGTTATTAAATCAAAATTGCATTGGCCGTCCTTGAGGTGTTCAGTTTTTTCCCTGAGGAATGCCTGGTGGTTGAGGAGCAAGACACCAAGCGGAGACGGCCATATTTGGCCTTAGTTTTCTCGGAGAATTAAGTTTCATCGAACACGAAAAGTAAATATCTACTTCACTTAATGGTTCGGATAGAAACTATATCCAAGGCGTTTTATTATTTTACTCCTGCATCAGGCAATCTTGATAGAGCAAAATTTGTAATCAATCTGGTTTCGCAGTGACTAGCAATCTCAGAAAGTTTTCGGAATAGCCGTGCGTCTCCAGGGTTATGTTCTTTGTCATATCTGATGCTGTTTTCCTCATACAGTTTCCGGATTGTCCAGTTACAAGTTGAATTTTGTGCAGTTACCGCCTAACAACCCGTATTGGAATACAATTGAAACCATTTTTCTTCTGCTGATCACAGAGATAAGTCAACCACCTTGGAATTGGTCGTTAGAGGCCAAGGTACGTTTGTACAGGTATTGATAGAACTCGGGCAACATGACTCTCATTTTGAAAATAAATCTCCGTATCCGATATCATACGTGCATATCGATAGCTATGGGTGATGAGTATTTGTTCTGAACTTTACCTCTCAGTGTAATGTTTCTCTTGTAACACCGTTTGAATTTGCGAGACCTTGGGTGTAGTGATAAAATTCGTAATAGTTCGAAAGTTACAGCTCAAAATTAAAAAAATATTCTATTCAAAAACAGCAGAGAAGTTTCTTCTTCTTAATGAACGATTACTGTTTCATGAGGTTGTTTATTCTGGTCATTGCACGTATTCTAAATAGGTTATCTCTTTTTATCCAGTGCACAGTAATAAATCAATAATTGAGAATTTTATAGCTCAAATAAGTTAGCAACTTAGGTGGACACAAACTACTCATATAACATCCTTCGTTCTGAAGGAACTAAAAATATAATATAAGAAACAAAGGTTGACCTTCAAAAGTTAACCCTGAGATGTGCAGCTTGTTGAATAAACCGGATGAAACATCCAAGAGATTTTGGCATATGGCTGAGGCAGAGGCCACTTATTCGGTAGGTGCATAAACCTGACGTTTGATGTCCTGACTGAAGCAAGAGCTTTGATGTGAGCATAAGCCTGTCAAAGTAGTAAACATCCGTTCGGCCTAATGGGTTAAAAGGGAATCAAATACTGACAGCCTAGTTGTCTGTCTCCCGTACTTGCCAATCTGGATATCGCGAAATTTGTTGCATTGATGAGAAGGGTTTTCAATAGCTGTCACTCTCGAAATGCATTCATAAAAGTGAACTTTTCCTGATAAAGTTCATTTTAACATCGTGCTCGAGGTTGGTCGTAGAACACGATTAGTATTCGGTGAATATTATCATTTTCGTTCATGCAGTTTCTGGAGCGGTCAAGTCGAATGTCGAGTACATTCAATGACCGTCCAGCCCTTGGGATTTGAAAGTGACCAAAACCTTTTCTCTTTATTGGAAACAGGGATAAGTTAGCTATCTCGCAGTAGTCGTTAATGGCCGGGGTGCAGCATATATTAGAAGAAACAGGGAAATGCTGCAAAACCGACTGTCTCAAAACAAAGAAGGTCAAATAGAATAGAGACTCTATAACTTAGGCAAATATGAACGTCACCTACCTTTCGGCACAGAGACCCTTCTAGCAGCTGAGGGAATGAAACTGATGCAATATCTGAGTTTTATTGTGAAGTCAACTTTTAGAAATGTTCATGTTCATGTTCATTTCAAAAATATCCGGAGCATTTGTGAGGTGGTCTCGTAGCTCACCTGACAAAGCGTGGTTTATACACATGCAGATGCATAGACGGTGTCCATGCTTGGGTTCAACTTGTATCAACGATCTGAATCTTTTTAAAACTGTTACAAAAAATAGCGAAATAAAAAAAGACTGTTGTGGTCACCATGTCCAACGAATTCGCAAGGTGTTGAGAATCAGATTAGATTGCTCGCTTTCACTGATCTCGTTTCATAAGATAATAAGTGAGAAAAACTGAGCAACTCGACCAAAACAAACCAGAGCATTCCATGGAACCTGAATTCTTCAGGTAACTGGAGCACACTTAATTAGATCGCATACACCTATCCGAGCGACTCTAGGATCAGATGATTTGCAACCGAAAACCCTGCATCATTCAGTTTATTTTTGTCTGCCTGCATTTATCGAACTATTTTTCTAATGTCATGTTACCCCAGTGGATAACGTAGTCTTATATTTTGTCTTAGATGAATGGTTTCTGTGTGCTACGGGTTCCGAGAAATAATGAGAAATTTCAAAATTTTCTGATTACAACACACTAAGTCACTTGAATTGAGCAAACATTGCTTAGGCTAATGCGGGACTACTCATGCAAAACTGAACTTTATACTGCAAAAGTTGCAAGCCGTTTTATGTTCAATGCAGTTGTTTATTTCGTTTTCGAATGATTTCCACCTTTGGTTGATGCAGTACAAAGATAAATAAGGAATAAATGAAAAAGAATTAGGGCTTATAAGCATATTTGATCAAACTTTTATTGATCCAACGCACGACATATTTTATAATTCTTTTTCTGTTCGTCAGTTGTGGATAGATTTGCTTAAGGGAACGGGGCAAACAGTCTGACCTCAAGGTCAGTTCGATTTAATGACTTTCATTTCCGTGGCTTTATGGTCGAGCAGGGAGATTGATAAAGGAAATTTACCTAATAAAAAAATAAGAAAACAAAAAGGGTAATTGTGACCACCAGTTCTGGCGTTTTATATTTAAGTCTGGTTGAAAAGTTTTGCGAACAATAGGGGAACATCTGATAACGTTTTTCACAGAATGTCACCATAGGTGAAGGGGAGGGAATCAATTTCCACCACAATTTGATAATCATCAAATCGACACAATGCCAAATATGTTTCACAATAAACTGACTACAAATAGACAAAAATGGAAAAAATACCGCTGTTAGGAGAAGAGATATTGCCCTGAGTTCTGAATAATGCAGTGAGGATGGAAAACCGACAATCGTGGGGTAGAACATAAAACAAGTTCAGTTGGTTTGCGAATGAATGCACACTTTGTTAGGTGTCCGGAGCCTAGCGCAAAACGATTGCTGTTGCAACGTATCTTCTGAGGAAATGTGTACCAGAATTAGTGAAAAAGATGAAGACATTCACCACGATTAATGTGTTAGCATTTGATATGACACTAATTACTTTCGATGACGCCATTTCCGGGCAAAACTTCTTCGTTGTAAGCACCTTTTTGCACCAAATTCAAGGTAGAATGATGATTTTGGATAACAAGAAATGTGACACCTGCCGTCTTTTGGACGTATTCTGTGAAATTTCTTCATGAACAAGAATTCAGACACAGTTGGACTCGTAAGTATTAGCGCATGCTGAAGCGTACTTACCTCTAACTATCGCCCGGGAGTAGCCCCGGCTTTATTAGTACTTGCGTTTCCGAAGAAAACATAATCAGAGGAAGAAAGACCAATACAATAAAAACCAAGACGGCGCGGTTCACGAGATACCAGAGTTGTAGACAAAATTAAAGTGCATAATTGTAATCTGGTAGACGTAATGCCAGTGCTATAAATTGCCCAAAGTACGTGATTTTTACTTTTCCTACGCGTTTATTCCAATCGGCCTACCACGAGGGGAGGGAGGAGAAATGACTAACAAATTGTCTTGGAATTGAACAATATACTATGGGGGAAACCGAAAAATTTAGACCAGAAGAGCAGTGAAGCGGTGAAGCACACTGTGAGTAATCGTAGATAAAAAGTACAGCGCGAATTGGCTTGGTGTTAAAGGAAACAACTAGGGCATGTCAACAGACACCAGTTTCGATACATACCGTAAAAGAGATTACGTCTTG